TTCAGTAGTTAAAATAGGATCGACACTTGAGATCACAGTTAAAAATTAATATGGTGATTTTACTGATATCATTAAAATTCAAAGATTCAATAATGCTAAGTGATATATCTGTTGACAAAGCAGAATTTTAAAAAATTCTTGAGGAAATCAAATAGACTGGAGAAGCAGAAATAAAGAAAGGATTATACATTATGGATTATAATTGGCCTAAAGTACTAAATGGAGAATGGCGAGTAAAAATAAATCATAAATTAATTGCAAGAATTACAAAGAAGTTCAGTAAACCCACATGAGCAAGAAGAGCTTGGTCATATGTTAATAGTAATTCAGCAATTTAGAAAAATTTTATCACTATGATTTCACTTGCACAAGATTAAAAGGCCAACCTAATTAATCTGAGCAAGTTAAGTATCTCTATTGCATCCAATTTTGTGATGCAAGTTAGAAGGTAGAAACCAATTCCTAATATATATCTGAGATATTATTAGAGGCAGATCAGTTAGAGCAATGGCGTAGGCTACTGGACTTGAGTAACCCCTATGAATTTAGAGTAAATTTTTGTTATCATAACAAAATATATTTTATACATTATTATAGTTCGAGCAAACATTGAACAGTTAGCTTTAGCTAAAATGTATGTATCTAAGTAGACATGCACCTACTATTTTATCCTTAGTACTATAAATACATAATAGGCTATTGTGAATATAATTTTGATTATTGAGGATTGAATACTGATAAGTTAAGCATGCATAGTAAATTTAACAATGGCAGAGCATTAAAAGAACACATTGGTAACATAGGCTACATGAATCATTGGTGATAGTTCAACCAGTCAATATAAGGCAACTTTCATCACATGAATAAAGGTCTTCTTTTTGAAACAATAAACAATCTTAGAATTTAGCCGGAAATCTAAATGAAATTAGGAGCCCTGTCAGAATATGTTGAGATATGTATGAATACTATTTAAAGAGGATGCCAAATTTTGCGGATTTGATTATAACATTACCTTTCTTTTGGAGTAGATTAAAATATTGCTCAAATATTCTGGCAGAACTATTTATTTTGCTTGCAGCTTAACTTAATACTGGGCCTCTAATAAATGAGTAGCTGGATTATGATCACTCGTTGTAATTTCAGATGGATGTAATGCAAGAAGTGCTAATAACTCAAGCAGTTGTTAAATTAAGTTGTGATAGCTAAACTCTTCTTGTTTTCTGTATTGTGAGTTATTAAATATTTATATGGATTCTCACCTGCATAATGCATTAAATTCCATTCTATTACTTAAAATCTTCTTAACTCACTTGTGGTCTATCCTTCTAATTAGTGATTTAAAGTATCAAGTAATAGTGGTCACGAATATTAATGAATAGAGAACATTACTAAAAATTCAGGTTTAATAAAATAGAAAATTTAGTTACTCAATTCTGACATTTAATTGATTCAGCTTATTTGAAGCATTAGAATTGGCAACAAACATGAGCTTCAGTTTAATGTAACTTACTTATAGTTAATTTTAACCCTAAAAAATCCTTTTGCTTATAGAGGTCAAAGGATTGTTAGTCTCATAGCATAATAGAATTTTATATAAATCCTAGAAACACAACTGACAGTTGCGAATTTAATTTATAGTTCCAATTTCTATTTTGATGCATTGTCAAGAAGTTGTGTACATCTAGTCTCCAGTATTAACATAGAAGTTATCGAAAAAACAGGAGAGTCTGTTGAAAATTTGGAGCTTACGAAACAACAATTTATATAGGCTCATATAGGTTTACAACATAAGTACACCAATTACTCAATTTAATGTGTATAAGGTTTACTTTTCAGCATTCCGTACAAAAAATTTGTTTCAAATGTTATAGGTGCAAAAGTAAGTTTATCTCAGTTGTTTATTCTCAGCACAAGAGTTTGCAGTAAAATTTGCAAGTCCTCAAACTGATTGCATTGCAAAATAATTGGAATTTGAATTCACTAAATTGAAACCTTCAAAAGGCATTTACTACAACAAGTATTAAAGTTTGGTGTAAGTTTTTCCTTTTGATGAAAAATATCATTTAATAAGCAAGCATATGAATTTTAGCAAAGAGATGGCAGAAATGTATGAAGAATTTTAAAGAAATGATCAAGAAAATTTGGCCAATTCAGTATCAGTAGAGTGATATGGATGGATCGCAGATTGATGAAAAGTTTTTTCAATTCTATCAAAGATTTCTGATACTCCTTATAAGAAGTTTCCAAGTATGGCAGTTGGATAAAGGGAAGCAGCATAAGTCATCACTTTTTTAATGATTACATATTTCATCATCCATTTGCAAATGGGCATTGAGTGCAACACCTCAATAGAACTATTTAGTTGAAACTATTTAAAAATGCGCACATTTATATCTAAACAGAAAAATAATAGATATCCATACTTAACAGTCAAAAAGTCACTTATTAAGAATGTATGTATCAAAAGCTTCACACCAGTTTTTATGGCATTTCATAAGATATAAAATTCAGTTACACAATCAGGTGACATAGTTAATTTGAAAGTATCAAAAGGAATTTTGGAATTAACCTTGTTTTAAATTACTTGTAAGCAGAAACCAAGAAGCAACATTTAACAATGTATTTTGAAAGAGTTCAAGACATATTAACAAAGTGAACATTTTTTTGTGCAAGGAGATGAAAATAAATAGATTATCATAGGATGAAGGAAGGGAAAAAAAGGCTAAGTCATAATAAGCGGAAACTATCTTAAAGTAGTAGCACACTCAATTATTTACAAGTAGTTACACTAACTTAAGAGGCTCAAAGAGTCGACCTTAAGTATAATCAGTTGAATTTGGAGCGTGACATAAAATATAAAGTAATATTTACAAACTACGTCAGGCATCAATTAGTCATAAGCTTAGCATAAAGATAAAATATACAAAGCTAAAGCTAAAGCTAAAGACATTAAACTATAGGCAATACATATAAGTGTACTTTCATAAGAACAAAAGTTGCACCCCATCCACCTGCACTTACAGACTTAAAGGATGCGCTACATGTAGCCTATATGCAACACTATAGAAAAAAATTGTGTAACAAAAGTTTGACATTTAATTGGCGTTGTTGATTTGCAATGATCAACAACATAATGACTATGTTTATGTATCTAAACAACCAATTCAAGCGAGTTTAACTTAAATTAAATATTCCGCCATAATCAAAATCGATACCAACAGCAACTTAATGAGAAAAATGGATATAGCA